AATCGTACTGAAAGTTTGCTAACGTTTTTTATATAATCATTTGTTTTTCGTTCTATCTGGTGTCTGCTCAATACCTGCTGACTTTGTTTCCGCTTCGTAAACGTTATTTTAATGCTGAATAAAATTCAAATTGTTTGCTCGGCATATTTGCCAAAAACTCCTAATAGGTATAATAAAGTTTTATGAAAATTTATGGGATTTGATTTTTCATTTTATTTTTTTTGATGCCGGGGTTCAATGGAGATAAAGGGTAGCGTGGAGCTTCACTGCTGTACTGGCTACTCACAATTTCCTACACAAAATGTTTTTGCCCTCGCAAAAAAAAAACTTTTTTTTTTTAATTTTTGACCATTTTCAAAATTTTTCGATTTTTTTGACAACTATCCCAAATCTGAGATCTTGGGTTCAATTGAGATAACGGGTAGCGTTGGGTTTAACTATTGTAGTGGCTTCTCACAATTTTTTTACACAAAAATTTATTACTGTCGCAAAAATTAAACTTTTGATTTCAACCGTTTTTTAAATTTTTTGACAACAACTCTGCCATATATGAGATTTTGGATTAATCCAAAAAACAGGCTCTAAGAATTTTCGATTGGCGACTATGTTCAAACTTTTTCCAGCGAAAAGTTATGGTCCTCGGAAAAATCAATTTTTTACCGTTATTTGAAACTTTTAGATTGTTCTGGAGAAATACCCTCCCCTATCTGAATTTTTGGGCTCAATCAAAAATTTAGGTTGCCTGGAACTTTTTTGCATAGAAATATAGGTTGCCTGAAACTTTTTGCATTGTTCAGTTCGTTCCTGATTTTCGATTATTTCGATTATTTTAAACCTTCGTATCAGCTAATTTTTGTCGGTTTAGGTCCCGAAGACAGATTCGGTTTCATAGAGCCTGTTTTTTGGATTGAACCCAAAATCTCATTCATGGCAGAGTTGTTGTCAAAAAATCGAAAATTTTTCAAAAACGGTTGAAAATAAAAAGTTTGATTTTTGCAAGAGCGATAACTTTTTGTGTAAAAAAATTGTGAGAAACCACTAGAACTGTTAAACACAACGCTACCCGTTGTCTCAATTGAACTCAAAATCTCAGATTTGGGAGTTGTTGTCAAAAAAATCGAAAAAATTTTGAAAACGGTCAAAAATCAAACATTTGGTTTTTGCGAGGGCAAAAACACTTCGTGTAAAAAATTGTGAGTAGCCAGCACAGCAGGGAAGCTTTACGCTACCCCTTTATCTCCATTGAACCCAAAATCTCACATCTGGGAATTTAGTTTTTGAGAAAAGTCAAAAAGATTCACAAAACGATCACAAAATTAAAATTTTGAATATTCCGATTTAAAAAACTTTATGTGAAGAAACTTTTTTGGTGTAGACACTTGTTTATGGGAGCTTTCTAACAACCGCTAATTTCATTGAAACCCAAATCTCATGCTTGAGAAATTAGTTTCTAAAAGAAAAAAGAAAAAAAAATTAAATATTCCTGACAAAGCTTTTTTTGAAGGCTGTAAACAGATGAGTAAAGTCAAATGAGTCTATGCAGATACATAAAAGAATAAGCAGCATTTTCCATGATACACTTTTTTTAACGATTTTTTTTCTAAAAAAAAGAAAATAAATATCTCAAGCGCATCAAAATTTAGCTGACACGAAAGTTTAAAACAATCAAAAGTTTTCAATTTTTGTTAAGACGGAACGAAGTAAACACGCCGAAAAAACAAACGAACGGAAGGAACGAATGAACCATTTTTCTAAAAGAAAAAGAAAAAAACAAAAGTATGTGTCAAATATTCCTGACAAAGCTTTTTTCGAAGGCTGTAAACAGATGAGTAAAGTCAAACGAGTCTATGCAGATACATAAAAGAATAAGCGGCATTTTCATTGATACCCCTCTTTTTAACACATTTTTGTCATAAAATTAAAATAAATATTTAAAGCGCATCAAAAATTAGCTGACACGAAAGTTTAAAATATTCGAAATTTTTCAATTGTTTTTTTTTTGAAAAAACGAACTAAACAAGCTGTCTTATACCGAGCAGATCTTATTGAAAATTTAAACTTAACGATTGTTTGCTCTTATTTCATACCCTACGTACTGAAAAAATATACGATCTATTTGTTAACTTTGTTTTGTTTTTGATTTTTTTTTTTACAATTGATGGAGTTTCGCAGTTTCCGCGGTCCCGCAGGGCTTGAGCGGAAACAGCCACAGAAAAATAAAAAAGAAAAAGTGACTTCTTTTTCGACTTACGATTTAAAAAAGTAGCTTTCAATTGTTCACAATCCTCAAATGCTCAGATAGTTAAAGTGAGAACACCTACAACAATAGGTCTGGTGATCGAACCCCGCACTGAGCGATTGCAATTTGTTGTCATATTTGAACAAAAAAATGACTTTTGCTTAAAGATAAGCTTTAGTCGTTCCATTTTTGAGAGCAATAGAGTCTGAACAGGCTCATTGATACCCTTTTTTGCCAAAATTTTGTGAAAAATGAAAATAAACTTTTAAAGCGCGTCAAAAAAATGAAAAATCAAATCCCATAAATTTTCATATTACCTTTAATATGCCCAATAGAAATTTTTGGCAAATATGCCGAGCAAAAGATTTGAATTTTTTTTAGCAGCAAAATAACGTTTACAAAGCGGAAACAAAACCAACTTTTATTGGGCAGACGCCAGATAGAACGAAAAAAAATGATTTCATAAAAATAGTCAAAATTTTAATTTTGTTACCGTTTTGTGAACCTTTTTGACTTTTCTCAAAAATTAACTCCCCAAATGTGAAATTTTGGGTTCAATGGAGATAACGGATAGCGTGGAGTTTCCCTGCTGTACTGGCTACTCACAATTTTTTACACAAACGTCTTTGCCCTCGCAAAAATCAAATTTTTGATTTTTGACCGTTTTTAAATTTTTTCGAGTTTTTTGACAACTCTCCCAATTCTGAGACTTTGGGTTCAATTGAGATAACCGGTAGCGTTGGGTTTAACTATTATAGTGGCTTTTCACCATTTTTTTGCACAAAAACTTATTGCTCTTGCAAAATTTATTTGGTAATATCAATTGATTTTCACCCGTTTTTAAAATTTTCGATTTTTTGACAACAACTCTGCCATATATGAGATTATAGATTCAACCCAAAAAACAGAGTCTATGAATTTTTTTCGATTGACGACTATGCTCAAATTTTTCAAGCGTAAGAGTCAACTTTTTTTCACTGTTATTTGAAACGTTTAGATTGTTCTGGAGAAATACCCTCCCGCATCTGAATTTTTGTGCTCAATCAGAAATACAGGTTACCTGAAACTTTTTTGCATGGAAGGATACTCCAAAAAAATCCACAAAAAACTGTGCTTCGTTAATAGTTTTTGGGACGTTTCTCGATGGCTATCCTTTCAAATCTGATATCATAGATTTAATCGAAACAACAGGTTGTTGAAAGCTTAGCTTTATAATCAGCTCCGCCCAATTTTTTTGTAGAAAAGTTATGGTTTTAGAAAAAGAGTTCAAATTTCGACCGTTTTTGAAAACTTTTGACTTTACTCGAGAACTATCGTGCCAATTCTCAGTTTAAGTGATCAATCGAGAAACCCGGTTTTTGGACACTTCTCTACTTCATCTGAGATGAAAAAATCAATTTAAAGAACCGGTTGCGAGAGTTTTTATTGCAGAAGCGACGGTTCTTTTGTTTTTTGTGAAAAAAATGTTATGTCCTTGGGAAAAGTCCAATACCTCAAAAATTTTCACTCTTCTCATTTAGCTTAGTAGAGAAACAACACAGGTTTAGGGCAGTTTTCAATTTTAGAAAATGCGCTGCATCAGTTCTGCATCAGTATGACAAATTCAAAAAAAATACACCTACCGTGTACATCCAATCCAGCTTTAGCTGGTGCCCCTGATTGTCTTTTATCGAGACTACTGAAATATTGGTTCACCTAGTTATTCAACATTTTCATTTTTTCGACTTCTTATGTTTTTTTATTATTTGTGATGTATTGCAAGAGATATGAAGCTCTGCTTCGTCTCTATGGTGATCATAGTTCAGGCTTGAATCGCTAATAGTTACAGTGAACAGGACGAAAACGTAAAAAAAAAACGTTATTTTTTATTGGTTGAAAGCATAAGTTACGACTATTGGGTCTTGTGACTGTAGCTGAAGTGCTCAAAAATGCGCAGTTTCTTAATTCAGTTTAATTTGAGTGCTTACATAATACCATAATTAAAGTTAATTTCAATTCGATGCTGAAAATATTAAAACTAATATTATAATTTTCTTATACCATTTGAAAGATTGATGTTCTAAGCCTCAAAATATTTGAAAATTGTTTAAGCTATTTTTTTCGCAAAGTTTTGCAGTTTGAAAAATACCATTTTTGGCACTATTAAAGCTTGCTCTACCTGTTTTCTTTTAATGCGTGTAGCGTAGACGGCGCGCTAATTCAGCTGAAAAGTTATTCCAAGTGATCTCAGCCAAGATTGTTGGTCTTATTGATGCGTTAAACAAACTATTTCGTACTTTACAGAGTGTGCATTTTTGTGCAGGGGGGGGGGGGGGGGGAGGGGGTGGTTGTCTTTGAAAGGTTTTTTTCAGAATCAGATGTAATTTCTTGCATTTTTACATCTTTTTTGCCGTTTTATTATCACTTTTGTTTGCAAGTAAGAAATAAAGAAACAATTTATTTCTCATTGTTAATGGTAAATATGAATATAACGAGAATTTAAACATGAAGCACCAGAAACAGTGAGGGGACAGTTAACGAACCCAATTGGGTTATAGAGCTTTGCCCGTTTATAAAGCTGCGTCCGGTTAAAACTGCACGGAGGCGATATATGAAATCATTGAGGAAATTGACCCAAATATCGTAGCGTGAATAAAGGAAAAAAGATTAGTGCAACAGAAAAGGCAGCTTTTTGGGAATAGATCCGAATTTTGTGCAAAAAAAGTGTAATTATAGGGTTTTTCCAATTTTTGCGCTCAAATTTATCTTTTTTGAGTTACAGGTGTTCAGCGGAATATGCAGTATTTGCCTCGTTATGACATTACGCCAACAACATCAACTCAAAAGTGAATTCGCCAAGCTTGAAGGCAGTTTTGAAAAACGAGGTGAACTCGTGGGTCAACTTCAGGATAGTTTGCAACAAAACGTGAAGACCTGTGAACTAAAATCTCAAGAGCTCCAGGGAAAGTTATCCGAGATCGGAATGGAAAGAGACCAGGTTTCTGAGAACTCGCAACAAAAAGAGAACCGCTACCTAGAAAGAATTTCCATTCTCGAAAAGCAACTCGATTACAGCGACCTGAAATTTGTCAACTGTTCCAAGAAAGTTAACGACTACAGTGATAAATGCAACGTCCGAATCCAAGAACAATACAACAAATTTGCCGACTCACAGCACAAATTAGAAAACTGTGAAGGTGATTCAGCTATCTGCAAAACAGAAATCGAGCAATGTCAGCTGAAATACAAAGAGGCCTTGAAAATTATCAAAGGGCTAAGAGGTGGCTCAAATATCGTGGACCAGGCGGACAATTTAGCAGGTGGTCAACTGCATGAAGATGGCAGCTATAACAACCTAATACCTCAAAACGAGAACCCAGTCGAGCATGAAAAACTTGTTCAAAACATGGGAAATGAGCTGAATAACAATAATGCATTGATGTTGGTGCAGGGTAACTAAGACTATGAGTTTTCCTTTTTGAGTTAAGCTGTCGTTTTCTTGCTTTTTTGGACCATTATATGAACTTTGAGGCATTTCTCAGCAATTGACTTTTTTGTAAAAATGTATCTGATGTAGCAGCCAAAACATCAGTAATAAGTTCTGATCGACACAAAATTTGTCGGATTCTAAGTCGTGTAACGACGCTCGCTTAGGAATAGATTGCCGGATGAATATGGCACATGCGCTATCGCTTGCAAGGCAATCTCTTGTAAGTCTGCTTCAGCTAAGTCAAGCTTCAATAAATAACTTAATTGCAACTGCTTGACAAAACTTTGATTAGACGTTTCAATTGCTTCTAAAAACTTAGTTTTTTCATTTTCCGGCAAATTGTTGTCAGTTTTCTGTTATAATTTGCTTTCTTTTTGTAGTTTTTCTCCCAAACACAATCAAGCTACAGCCTCTTCTTGGGTTTACCATGCTGTATCACACTAAAGTAAGTTCAACGACCCGGGTTGACCAAAATGCTACTCATACAATTTTCATATATAGAAAAATGCCAATCATACACTTTTCATACAATCCATAAATACAGAAAAATGCATTAAAGGTCTATGATTAGTATTTTTCTACAGTATTTTTGTTCCGACCATTGAAAATGGGGAGGAACTTTGTATTCGGATTTGTTTTAGTTTTTTTGCTTTTTGTTTTCCACGCAAAATCAGGTACTACAAATAATCATCAGACTGCGTTGGTTGAGTGATATATCATTTTAAAGCCCGTTCAGCCATGACTCGAACGACGTTTAAAAATTTTGAAGATTTTTTGTACAATGCCGAGAAAAAACCTGTTTGAAGTTTTTGATTTTTGGTCTAATTTCGAGCTAATAGATTACCGTATGTGCTTACAATAGCGTATTTAAGCTTAATTTCAGCTGTGAAAACTTTTTTTTTCAAGTAAAAGTATTTTTTGGAGTTTTTTTGCTCAATTTTGGGAATCAAAAACTTAAAAATTTAAAAAGCGAAAAAAATTGAACCAGTTTTTTATGACTCAAATATGCTTAATTTATATTTTTTCGTTCAGATTTTTTGATTACAACATGCAGAAAAAAAACGACGCCAATTTGTAGAAAATTTTTTTTTGTTTTTTATTAAGACTGTGGTAGGAACATTCTGTGCTACTTGCACAGTAACCAGCTATCCTTTTTATATATATAAAAATTGTACGACAAGATTTTTTAATAGTTGGGAAATGTGAAATTAGAACTTTTCATAGATGAAAGTTTTATGATTCGCATTTTTTATTAATTAAAAATACAGCAGAATGAGGCACAAACTACTTTAAATCCCATACGACGAGCAGTTTCTGAAAAGAGATGAAAAAAAAACAGAGAAAACGCAATTTAAAAACCAGTGCATCTTAAAAAGCGTAATGCATACATGCTGTTCAATAATTTCAAAGAATGTTGGTCTGAAGACCAAGATACTGAAAGAGACCACAAAAATATAACAAACGTTTCGGCTTAGCAACGTTTTTCAAAAAATAATTTTTGAAACATTTTGCTAAGTCTAAACTTTTGTCATATTTTTGTGTTCTCTTTCAGTATCCGTCTTCAGACCGACATTCTATGAAATTATTTAAAAACATGCATGTCTTACGCTTTTTTAAAATAAATGCACTTAGTTTAATTTGGTATTTGGTATTATAAATTATGCAAAAGTAATAGTTATAAAGGGTGAGTGGTCAAGCGGTGAAGTTATGACTTGGCCGCTATAGAAAGGGACTTGCTGTCATTTCCGGCTTATTCTTACACTTTGTTGATCTCTATGAATATTTTTTTGCCGGTGTGCTTGCATGTGGCTGCGAATTGCCGCAGATTGTTACAGATCAAACCCAAATCAAGACTTTAAAATTTTCATCAAACAGCTAAACAGCCGCAGGAAAACTTGCTTGCTAGGAGATCTTTTTAAGCTACTTGAATCAAAAATGACATCAACGATTTTTGTGAACAGAACGTTCATTGCCACTTACATAGCAGCAAGTAGTTTTTTTCGAAAAAATTGCCGTCAGAAGTTTTTTTACTGAGTGCGCAGTGTTTGTATCTTTTTATTGTTTTGATCATTGAAAATAGGACGGAAGTTGGCATTCAGGTCATTTTTATTTTTTTTTGTTTTCTTACGCGAAATCAGGCACCAAAAAAATTATCGGGTAGGGTCGATTGATAATCATATTAAATCCCTTTTAGCCGTGAGTCAAACAATTTTTAAAGCCAAACAAAATTTGAAAATTTGCCCCGGTGTCGAGAAAAGCCGCTTTGAAAATTTCGAGGTTTAGTCTAATTTCGAGAAAGTAAAGGCAATTTGGTAACCTTGTTATTATAAAACCTGTTTATTTAGGCTAACAAAACATGATTTTACTTTAAAAAAAACTGGTTTTAAAGGCTTCATTTAGCGCTTGCGCGGCAAAAATTTTCTAAAAAGCTATCAGAAACTTTTGTGCAAAAAAATTATGTATATCTTTTCACGCAAAAATAGCTGCCTCAAATATTAGGTGCGGCGAATGTCATTTCTAAATTAACTACTATTAGACAAATATATTAAAAATTAGCTAATTGTTGTTCTGATCACCAAAAAAAGAGAAATTTTAGCTCAAGTGTGTTGCAGGTTTTTTTTATTTATTTTTTTTTCACGCGCAAGCAAGTACCATGAAAAACAGATGGAGTTACGGTGGAAAAACAGATGGTTCTTCGCGTGATTCAATCGACAAGGAAAATTTCCAAGAGTTCTAACAATTGAGCAAAGCTGGTGAAAAAGTTTATATTCATGTATAGGCAAAAAAAACCAACGTATGCAGCTAGGCTATGAAATTGTGGTGGTTAATGATCTTTTTTAGCTAGCGCTTTCCTGGAAAGAAAAGTTAGAAAAATCGAAAAAAAATTAACTTTTTATGAGAACTCACTGATAAATTTTTAAAACCTAATTTGGTCACTCTTTTGCTTTCGCTCACAAAAATTTCAACAAATTTGAACTTTGAAAAGAATAATAAAGCTGTTTTTAAATATACTTTATTCTTTTTTATTTTGCTGTGGTTGGAACCTTTTGTGTTAGTTGTATAGGAATAGTCAAATTTTTGCCGTTTTTAAGCATTTGCTGTGTACATGCGCATCTGTACTTTTCTGTTTTTCGCACTGTTTGCAACCTTTTTTTTTAAAATTTTTTTGTTTTCTTATTTGATTGTGTAAGTGGACCTCTACTTCACATTCGTGTTCAACAGTAACAAAACCAGGTCGGACAAAGATGTTTCCCACTATTTTCAATCAAATGCAATAGTAAACAAGGGTTAACGGTTGAGTGTAAGTAGCCCAGCATTTTCCGACCAAATTGTTAATAAAATACATAAGAAGTTTTTTTTAATTAATGTAGTTTTTTAAGCGTGATGTGATAATATATGATCAGATGAAAAATTAAAACTTAGAAAACTTCGATATTCACAGTAACATAAGCAAATTGAGCAACAGTTTGTTTCAATAAAAATGACAAGAAAAAGAAAAAAATTAAGAAACTCAACAAATTTTTAATTAGAATCTTTTTTGTGTTCTTGAAGTTCTTGCAGTTTTTTATTCAATAAACGGCGGTAAAAACTCTTTGAAAAAAATTAAACTGAAACAAAACAAAAGTTTTGCAATTTATCCTTCTAGATGAGCCTGACCGCTCGCTTTACTCGCTCGAAACTGAAATGGAACTCAAAATTTTCAAAACAGTGAAACTCAAAATTTTCAAAAGTTTTCTCGACACTGGAACAATTTATGGCTATTTTTTAAACTGTCAGTGGAATCAAGAATAAAAGAGCTTCAATATGATATATCACTCCTCTCAATCCAAAGATTTTTTTGGTAACCGATTTGGATGACAAAAAATACACCTGCTCGCTCGAAAAGTACCAGCCTGCTCGCTCGAAAATACATCAAAATTCAAAATTTGTAAACAGGTTTTTCTCAACACTGAGAAAATTTTTGAAGTACCTGGTTTTGCGTGGAAAACAAAAAACTAAAACGCACCCGAATAAAAATTTCCTCCCCAATTTCAATGGTCGGTGCTAAAACACTAAACTGTGATGTAGTTGGTGATTTTGAAGTGGTTTTCGAAGTGTGGATTTTGGATGTTTTGTTTGGAAATCTCCCCTTTGGGAAAATCTTTGATCCAACCCTTTGCGCATCATATGGATTTTTCACATTTAAAACAGCTACCATGTTTTTAAGTCTCAAAGTTAATCCATAAAGCTAAAACGTCTTTTAAACCATTTGAGAAGTTTTAGAATGATATTTTAGATTCGGATTTTAAAAAGCTCATATATATTTTGGTCTCATTAAGCACACGCTTAACTGTCTGTAAAAACAGGGCAAACTCTCAGAAGCTCAATTTTGAACATATAACGGGAAAATTTTCAGCCATAGCTGATGCACTTATGTTTGATAAATCAGTTTATATTAAACTTCAAGTTCGAACTAATAAATATAGTTTAACATTATATTATATTTTAAACAGATAGTGCATTTAATTATTTTAACTTCTCGAAAGAAAATTTATTCATTTTGACAATTATAATTTAGAGGTTTACGAGTTATGGCAGGCATGGAGTTAACAAATATGAACATGTCAGATTTGACAACTTTTTTATTCTTTGCCCAGAATATTACACCTGCTCATTTGCAACCGGGTATAGCGTGTAACGATGGATTCACTCGCTTCAAAAACAAGTGCGGCTAAACTTGACCAGATATGAAAACAAACCTTCGCCAACTAGTTCAAGTCATTTTTTGCAATCAATAATTCAAAAAACAAATTAAAGTGGTTCCTTGCGAATCGCAGAGGAGCTATCAGTAGGCCTTAACAGTCCTGTCGAGGATAGTCGATTTGTATTATCTCCCCACATTCCTGTGTGTTATTTTGTTGAGCGAAGCTCTTTTTTGCGACTCAAGGCCGTTTTTTTGCGCCTAGAACTTTCACGTGGCACCACAACCACTGCCTGACCAATTTCGGCTGCAATAGATCTGAAGCTAGAGG